CCCCAAAACCCCAAAACCCCAAAACCCCAAAACCCCTAATATTTTATTAGTAATTGAAATAAATGGCATTTAAATATCCCTTTACAAGGCCTAAGGCAGGCATGAATTGGAAAGTAACTAAAGCGTTAAGAGTTCCTTATCCAAATAATAGTATCTTGAGGAAAAAGAATGAGAAATTGGTTAAAAGAGAAGAGATGCTTGGAGAAACTAGGAAGAAGGCAAAATCTCAAAGACCTTATGCTAGAAATTCCGAAAAGTAATGATTAATATTTTCTTCATATTCCTATATATTGTAAGCTCCTAACAAGTTATGCAGGTTTACAGCTAATACAAAAATAAATCTAAAATAAAACAAGAGTAAAGCCAATATTAGCATGGAAGGATAACAAAATTAAAAAAAGAACAGATCCTGATATCATCCAGAGCCAGGTTGAGTCAAGCCCAATGCTGAAGAACGTGTTGAGTTATAGCAAAGTCGGGATAAAAAGGTACCCGCTTCTCTCATAAATTAGAAATGAAACAGATAGTATTGATAGGAATTCCTATTATGATCCTCCTAAGCAATCAGAGATTAAACCAGCCAACGATTTTAATACAATTATGATCAAAGATCCTAACCTTGGAAAGCAGCTAGCCATGCAAATTGTAATGCAACATTTAAATTTATAACTTCAGAATCAACAAGATGTGAGAGATAAAAATAGCTCCCAAAATCAGATCAAGAAGTTAAACATACTTGTGAACAAAACCAAAGTGCTTTTTAAAGTAAATTCATAATCTATTGATAGGACCATAACAACTCAGAAAAGGTATCATTGCCATACCTCGAAAGAAATTTTAATAAGAGTCATTTTGAAAACTCTGTCCATAACCAAGGACACTCAAGAAAGCCTTTAATGGTATCAAGGTTTGAATCCAACAAGATTTATTCCTCAACTACTCCGAGCGTTGATGATGCAATACATAGAGCTAGTTCTGTAGAAAGTAGATTACAGAAAGATAGCAGCGTTGTAACAATATCTAGCAATAATTACTGTCAACCAAAGAGTATTATCAATATAAAATCTCATAAGCCAAGAAAGAGCGTAAAACCTCCTGATATTGCTCAGATTAATTCACAATACCAGAAAGATATAATAATCACCCAAAAGTACATCTCTGCTTTAAACATTAGCCAACAGAAGCCTGGACAAACCAAAATAGCCACTGGAACTACTCGAAACAAACGACGTCAAATCCGACCTCTTAAAACTACTACTAGAACTTCCAAGAATTTAAAAATTAATTCAAATCAAGCCAAGAGGCACCCTAAGAAGTCTCATATTGGTCATAACGAATGGTGAAACTGCCATATTAAAAGTAATGAGATATTTATTATGTGTAGAACCATTAGGCCAAAAAACTTTCAAGAAAAAGGTACAGTTCCAATATAAATTCTAGGCCAAGAAGAACCCACCTCCATCTGAACCGATCATACCAGCGGAGGAGCCAAAGAAAGAGGTGGCTCCGCCACCTGACTTCTTTGACTACGGGAACAAATTTATTTATGAGTAAGAAATTGTGAAGATAAATTTAAGGATTCTTATATTTTCAGTTCTGGAGCAGAGAGCTGGGGTTTTGGGGTTTTGGGGTTTTGGGG